AGGTCGGCAGGGGCTCGGTTGTTAGGCCGATGCTTGGGTTCTTCTGTGGGTAGCTGGGAGCCAGAGCAGGTTCTGAGTAGGGAAGTGGCATCGTGTTGTGCATTAAGAGTTGTGCCATGGGCCAGCAGGTGGCACGGAGGTTAAGGCACTGGATCCATCATGGTTGATCATGTGGCTCGAGGCCCGGACCCGTGGCCTGAAAAACATTCCAGGCACGTGTGTGTGCGCATCCAGAATCCCAAGAGGAGAGCAGAGGAGGAAGCGCACCACTGCCATGTGCCCCGGGGGTGCTCAGTTTCCCTCTTTCTCTGTCTCTCTGTTTCTCTCCGGTGAGGGCACCCACCCTATACCAAACTTAAAAAACCAAAAACCAGAGAAACCGAGGTGTGCTAGACAAGGACGAGACTGCGGAAAGAAGGTGGGTGGGTGCCATCCCGCCAAGCACCTCGTCTGTGTCCTGGGACCTGGGAGCCTCGCCTGGGGAGATTGAGGCCCTCAGACCCTTGCTGCTGCTGTGCAGTTCTTGGGCTGGGGAGCAGAGATTCCAACCAGAGCCGAAGCCCCAGGGCAGCCGGGGGTGTGGGGACTTGGGGGTCTCTGACTGCGGGGGGACTGCAGGCCACTCTACTGTAGGGAAGACTGTCTCCACCCGAAAGACCCTCCGTGTGTATGGTGCTGGGGGGGGGCATGCTTCCCTAGAGAAGACGTCCCCTGGGTGCCAACCTCCTCACCTCGCAAAGTGGCAGCAGCTTGATCTTCACACTGCAGTTTCCCAACACCCCATCATCGCGCACCTGGAGGGGCGCCAGCCAGGCAGACAGCAGCTCTGACGGACCTCGGAAGGCGTCAAAGACGGTCCCTTCCCAGGGCACAGGGGCCCAGTGACCTGCCACACAGCCAGCAGGACAGGACAGGAGAGGACAGGGGAGGAGAGGAGAGAGGAGGGGGCGGTTCTGAGGCAGCCCCACCACGTGAGCGTGGCTTGCCACGCTCGCTCCTGTCTGGCCTGTGCCATGAACTCTCACCGGTGCCCATGTGCTGGGTGTGAGGGAACTGGGCGAGAGCCGTTCATGGCAGGGCCCCC